GTTTGGGCTATTTCTAGTACTACCACCTCTGTGGTCTGCTCTCTTCTGCCTGCCTCTTCCACTTACAAGGAAGCTTGAGACTACACTGGGCGCACCCATTTAAGATAACCTCCCGTGTCTCAGGGTCATTTGATTAGCAACCTTAATTCCATTTGCAACCTAATTCCCCCATTGCCACGTAACCTAACATATTTATAGATTTTGGGGATTAGGACATGGCATTTCTAGGAAGGCCTTATTTTTCCTACCATGCTTAAACATAATCTATTTATCTGTAGATTAAAATGTTCGTTATTTTCCTTCCTCCCAGTATTTTATAAAAACATTTCAAGGCCGGCACAGTGGCTCATACCTGTAACCCTATCGCTCTAGGAGGCCAAGGTGGGCAGACTGTTTGAGCTCAGGAGTTTGGGACCAGCCTGAGCAAGAGCGAGACCCCGTCTCTACTAAAAATAGAAAGAAATTAGCTGGACAACTAAAAATATATAGAAAAAATTAGCTGGTCATGGTGGTGCATGCCTGTAGTCCCAGCTACTTGGTAAGTTGAAGCAGGAGGATTGCTTGAGTCCAGGAGTTTAAGGTTGCTGTGAGCTAGGCTGACGTCATGGCACTCTAGCCTGGGCACAGAGTGAGATGCTATCTCAAAAAAAAAAAAAAGATTCAAAATAACATAAATTGTGATTAAAAAAGAAAAACAGAAAAAAGAGGAAGGAAAATATTAGTAACTACATGGTTGGCTATTAGAAAAGATTCCCTACTCTTTTTTGACTTGAGAAGAAAGCATGTTTGCTGTGGATGATTGGTGATATTGTTTGTGTTTTCTACATGCCTACTAAGTTTGTGCCTATAGCCAATCCATGTTCAAGGCTTGCCTTTTACCTCCAAATGCTTTTGTCCCCCGTCCCTTGTTTCCAGACTTTATACATAGGTAAGTTGTTACCTCTGTCTCCTGACTTTCCTCTCTTCGAGCACATTATCCACATATCTGCCAAATGTGAATACACAAATAACAAACATGAATGTGTCATTCCCCTGATTTAAAATGCTTATTAGTAAATACCTTCAAGACAAAATCTGGGTTCTTAGCTGCTAGAGAGTCAAGCTTACTTATACCGTTTTCATCTTCTGCTACAGCCTTCTTTCCACATCACAGCTATACAGGCCTTCCGTTCTATTTTCATTATTCTGTCTGCTCAAACGCAGCCCTGAAACACCAGCGCACCTTATGCCATGGGCTGCTCCTCAACGGACTGCAGCGACCCGCGCCGGTGCGTGGGTGAGAGGGGGCTCTGCTCCCAGAGCCCTCAGCCCTCTCAGCCAGACAGACCCTCACGTTCCCAAGGCCCACACCAAGACTACTCAGGGAGAGCCACACCTCGTGTGATTAATGACTTTACACATGTTAATCAAGATTTTAAACTGCTAAATAAAAAATGTCCCACCCTACTAGAATGACAAAAATAGCAGCATAATATCAAATTGAAACTATGTGCACAGCTATACTTATATAACTTCAAATTGCTAAAAAATCAATGACTGTTATTGTATATTATTATTCACAATGTCTGGGCATTCTGTTATGGGCAGGAGATATTTGGGTGGAGAGTAAAATAAATACATGATTTATACATTTGTATATGTTTCCTTCATGTAATTTATTTCTCCTACTTTTATTATAGCAAAATTACCAATTATGTTATTGTTATCAAGATGTTCACATAATTTGTATTCTATTGAAAGTAATGGTCAAAATAATTAAAATCATATTAAAAATATACTAAATTTGAATATATTTTTAAAACACAATATGCAACACTTAAGACATTTTAAATAGGTTTTAAAAGTTATTTTTCTTCTAATATTCAAAATGATTTATTTATAACAGAAAGGTAAAACAAATTATAGATAACAAATATTTAAAATTTGAATCAAATGTAAATAGAGCAACATTTTTGTTCATTTTGTTAAATAATTTCATTAGATCTTACTAAATATTTTGTGAAACAACAATGTTCACATTTAATGTCAATGTGGAGAATCATTGGGACATGTCAAGCATTTTACATATAGAATTACATTTATGCAATTTTAATAATGATATAATTGTTTAATATTCCAAAATACTTCTCTGGCACCATGTACATATGAGAGATGTGATGAGCACTCTAATTCCTGAGCAGTCTGAGACCCATGGATTAGAAAATGTAGACAAGCATGAATGACTGTGTACACTACTCATTAATGATCATTCATTATTTAAGAATCTATCACATTTATGTGATCTAGGAGAAAGGACTTAACAAGTTAAATAATGTATCTTTCCTCTTAACTAAACACTCCTGCCACTCAGACCTTCCTTCACTCACATTGCCCTCTCCAATAAATCTGACCTAGGTGGGATTTGCTCATGGTAATTGCTTGTTGAGTGGGAGTCCTTGTCCGCACCTATCTCAGTTGACACAAGCACAACACACAAGCTTTGATGACATTCTTTTTCTTTGGGGACAAAAGGCAAGGGACATTGGAGAAGCATGTGCCCGTGGACTGGTGGTGTTGGTCACGCAGTGATTGTTGGTGGTATGGACCACACTGAACATGAGACCCTGAGTGACCGACCGCAGTGCTTCTGTGCCACTTTATCACAGTCCTTCCATGTTCACGCATTTATTCGTCCGTGTGTGTGTGTGTGTGTGTGTGTGTGTGTGTGTGTCTGTGTGTGAGTGGTGGTGATGGGTGTGGCTATTTCACACACAGAGAGAAGAACAGGGGCCCTTTTTCCCTGGGCCTAAAAGTTGCATTAACAAATGAAAACTGATACTAAATAAACAGGAAATAAAAACATTTTTTAAAGAACTTATTTCACACAAGAAATATCATTAAACATGTTAATATGACATTTTTTGTAAATTGATTATCATTACAACTATGTATTATAGGCAGTCTGAAATCACTCAACACCAACTATACCAAATTAATATATTTGAAGGTTGTGTTAAGGAACCTGCATTTTTAACCAGCTCCTTAATGTAGAAGACAGTTTCAAAAACATGGCTACATGCTGTCAGCAACTTGAGTCCCAGGTCATGCCTGGCTTCCCTTTGCTTAGTGCAGAGCCTGGTGCATAGCATATGCTAAGTAAAAGAACTCTGGGTTGGGAAAAAGCTAGTTTGACTCAATAAACAATCCCTTACTGACAGCCTTCAGACAACGTTAGCACTGTACTCTTTCATTATGGAAAGAAGAGGCTATATCTGACTGACAAAGGGGAACGCCCTGAGAGGTAAGTAAGAAGTAGTGGCAACTGGGCTCCACGACAGCAACAAAAAAAAGACTAAACAAGAGTTGTGATGTTTGTCCATAATTGTACTCTAATGAAGAAAGTACAAAAATCACAGAAACAGCAGATAAATTTTTATTTTGTTTCATGACATTTGAGCTAAATGCTAGTTTTCACTAAGCTAGTATGTATTTTGTTCTAAAAATTATATAATTCTATTTTAATGGCTAAATATATGTTGATTACAGAAATAAAATAACAGAAAGAGAAAAAATGTTCATATATATGTGTGTACATATATGTATACATACATACATATATGTGTGTGTTTCTCCATTTGTGCTGCTAAAACAAAATTCCAAAGACTAGGTAATTTGTAAACAACAGAATGTATTTCTCACAGTTCTGGAGGCTGGAAAGTTCAAGGTCAAGGAGCCAGCAGGTTCCATGTCCCCTGAGGGCCTGATCTCCCTTCCAAGACAGGACCTTTACCTGCATCCTTCCGGGGAGACAAAGGCTGTGTCTTCACATGGTGGCAGGGATGGAAGGGGTGAAGTCACCCCCTAAAGCCCTTTTGCAAGGTGGCTAACTCCACTCATGGTGCTGTACCTGCCAGGACTTACTCGCCTCCTAAAGGCTCTGCCTCTTAGTACTGTCACATTGGCATTAAGTTTCAACACATGAATTTGGGAGGACATTCAGACCACAGCAACATAATTATCTATTTCCTTCTCTACTGATCAATTCTATAGGAATTTTAATGAAAACTGTTTTTAATGTATTTAGCATGCTTAGCAAGAATTTTTTAATTTATTTCCTCATCAAGCACTGCATATTCCAGAATCAGTTTTAATGTATGGAATATTTTTATTCAATTCCACATCCATGTGTGGAGAAAAATCTAACCTGCCATTCTGCTTCTGTAAACTCCGCTCGCTCAACCCTACTCCCTCCCCTCGCTGGCGCCACTCTGTAACTCCCTAGCCGTTAGTCCTTGGAAATTACTGACCAAGATTAGGAGTTCCCGACATTAGCTAATGTGGTACATGTTTGTGCAAGGTCAAAGCCCATGAAACTTTCCCCCCACCCTGTGACCCCTAGCCACCTGCGTGTGGTTTCTGTCTATAAAAATCCTAAGGAAAAAAGGGCTGGTGCGGCAGCTTCCTTAGCTCGCTTGCCCCTGCGCGCGCTGGTAAATGAATCCACCTCATGCTATTGCATCAAGTCTCTGGACTCTGAGTTTTTTTTGAGCGGTCGTCTCTCCCCCACACGGGCTGTACATTTCTGCGGCCCAACACATGAAAGTTTAGTTTACTTCCAATATTTTATAATGTTATGTCTTGTATACAAATTTTTCAGATGTCTTTTATTATTTCTTAAGATAAATTCCTAGAAGTGAAAAGGCCTTTTCCAAAGGCACCTAGTTTTTAGGCTTTTGTTAAATGTTCCCAGATTGCCATTGCAAAATATTATACTAATTTACAATCCCATCATCAATGTATGAGAATGTTCAGGGCTGTAATTTTTGATGTTTTCATCTTCAAAGTATATTGTAGCATTTTTTTTGCACATCTTGGAGCAGGAGGTGACATGCAGGGAGGAAAAGTCATATAGGAGGCTTTTGATTGCTTGAGGCAGCATAATTGTAACCACTGCTTCTGGGCCACTGACCCAAACTTAAACCTAACACCATTCTGCAACGAGCTTCTTACCTTGTTTTCCTCCCTCTTTAAGCCATGACCATGGCTGCAGTTGTCAGGAAGCACATGGCTAGCATGTGCTAACTATATGTACGATCAACAGCAACTGGGGATAAACAAAATTTGTGACAAGACGATAGTATTTTGGAATGTGTTATTACATTTTACAACCTAAAACCTTAGGTTACATTTACACGCATATCTATAGACACTGGGGTATCTAACCTCATCTCCATCATTACCACTCTAGACAAAGTCAAAGTCACCATCATCTCCTGTGAAGACTATTACAACAGGCACCTAACTATTCTCCCTGCTTCTCGCCCTGTGCAGCTAACACACACAGACACACACACACACACACGCACACACACACGCACAAATATATCCTCTATCTGGCAGCCAGAGTGGTCAGAATGGTTCTTTTACAACATGTATTAGATTATATCACTTCTCTGTTTAAAACATTCCACGGTCTTCTCTTCTCATTCAGAATGAAAAGCCAAAACCCTACATGGACTTCAAGACGTTTTCTTTCTTAATTTGGGCCCCTACCACCTCCCTGATGTAAGCCCCTATCAGTCTCCCTCTCATTCAGTTGGCTTCTTCAACATTTCTAAAACAGTCCAAGCACACAGCTGCCTCAGGACATTTGCACTTGCTATTTTTAACTGTAATATTATCCTGTTCAGGAATTCATGTTTTCCTCCCTTTCCTTAGATCCCTTCTCAGTTGTCACCTTATCAGACAGGCATTTCCCTAAAAACTCACACACACCCCCAACACACATATTCTCTTGCACTTTTAGAGTCTGCAATTTCTTGGCATGGTGCAACTCTAGAGTTTCATTTATCACCCTCATCATTCCGCAAGGTTCACGCTGCCAGCAATGTGGATGCCTCTGCTAATGCCAGTAACAGAGGCACGTCTTCTAATTTTTGTGTTGTAAATTCGTGATTGAGGGCCAAGCTTAAAACATAATTTGTTTACTGTCAGAAATACAGATGCCATTTTACTTTTATTATAATTAATTACCCCCCTTTCTCTATACATCAGTTACTTTTGCTTATTGGAGCCTAATCCCTGTACTTACATAAGAAATAATTACTCTGTAGCATGGTTTTCTTGAATTATATAGAGATAGACACTGCACTGATCACTGCCTCATGATAATGTGTTTTAGCAAAATGATCCCATCTTATCTTCACAACAATCCTTTGAGGGTAGGTCCTACTTGTGGCTAAACTGAGAACCATAGAACTGAAATAACTAAAAAAAGTCAAACAAAGTAAATGTGGTTAAAATGCGTATTTTTAAAATCTAATTCTAAAGTTTGGTCCTACCTTTATATTTCTAGCTTTGCAGGAGGCAGAGCTTTTCCCTCGTGCCACTCGGGTTACAAGTAGCACTTTTGCCTTTTCTCCCCTGCCTCCCTCTGCCACTCTTTTCTGGGCTGCTGGGATATTCAGAATATACTGCAATCCAAAAGAAAAAATAAGTTGTGTCTTGTTGTGCTATATAAAATCATGAACATTACTGCACCAGGAAAATAATTTATACACATACCATGGTTCTTCTCACTGTTTTCTAGAAGCTCTAAGCCTTTCAAAGAGCGAATATATCTTATGTTTTTGTTTCTTGCTTTGAGAAACGATTTCTGCCATGAAATTTAAATTCTAACCAGTCAGTCTTCTAGTTGTCCAATGAGCAAAATATATGGACTTTTTTTACTTTATGCAGATTCTGGTCTTAAATGCTCTCTTACCTTTTCATGCACACACTTCTGAATCCTACTGATCTTTAGAGATAATTTCAATAACCTCCACAAAATGATAAATTTTTTAAAGTATATACATTGAGCTATGCAATCTCAGAAAGCCTGTATTATTTCCCTTAATTTAAAAATATTATATATACTACATATGCACATGCACACAGTTATGTATATGCAAATGTTATATATATACACACACGTACACAATTATATAATACCACCTAATACTATAAATATAGTATTATTTAGTTAGTATACATAATATTACATATGCACATACACCCAATTATATAACACACATCCAGGTACCAATAAACAGATTTCATAAATATTAACTTTTTTTTAATTCAGATATATTGCAAAGAAATAAGAGCTTACAGATATATATCATGCCTTTTTGTTCCCTTCTCTATTTCATTCTTAATTTTAGTTTCTTGTAGCAAACTTTATTTTGAGATCATTGATTATTCTTCCTAGAAATATATAAATACAGTATTATGTGGCTATATAACAACATAAATGTTATATTTTCTACAAAATGTGATATATAACCTAAACACATATAGCAATAAGCTATGTGATTATTAAGTTTTCTTAACTGATGCCATAGCATACATATCTTTGGAAAGTATTTTTAAGTGATCATATTTTCAAGATTTACAGGTGACACTTGTGGACTTACTTTGTTATTTTATTCTACTATATTGTGATGTAATATTTTAATCTTAAACATTTAGAATTTTGCTAAACTTGCAGCTAGAATTTGAAGTTCAAGGTCAAAGTTACCTTTATCTTAAAATGTACCAATTCTTGCCACATGGATGTCCAAAATGGCCCTACAAATGTATAGCCCTCTCTGCAGGGGCATGTGAATTCCTATATCTCTGTATATCTTGCAAACTTATAAATAGGACATGGCATTACATTTTGCATAAATTTGCATTTTCTGTTTACTACTAAGTTTGAGCATCTTTTCGTGTAAGTTGTCCATTTGGCTTTTTTTCCTTATAAATTATCTGTGTAATATCCTGTGCCCATTTTTCTATGGATTGTTTGTGTTTCTTGTTTATGTAAAATTAACCTTCTTTTCATAGGTCATAATGATATTCTTTTATATTTTCATATAATATTTAAAACTTTGGTCAAATTTTTATGTCATTAATTAGTGTAATTTTTTTAACTGTTTGAAGTAAGATTTAACTTCCCTTTTCCCATAAGTACAAATGTTCCCTGAAAAATTAAAATCAATTTATAACTAAAATAATTCCATTCTTTACCAGTGTTGTATATTACAATATCTGATAAAAAACAATTTACATTGGTTTATTTCTCCAATTCTATGACAATTTCATTTTGTTTTCATGATTGTAGCTACATTATGAGCCTTGTAATCTTATAGGGAAGATTTTTAATGGTGGTACTTTTAGACTAAACTTCATAGTATGTGTGTGTATTTAAAATATTTAATGACCTACTAATTTCAAGTGTGTCTGAGCTATAAATTACTAACAGCTTTGATTTTTAACATAATATTTTTAAAAAGATGAAATTATATCTCTCATATGAATATATAATACATATACATGAAGAATGTTATCTCGGTTATTATCTATGAGAGGAACAGCAAGATATTGCAAATAGCTAAAGGGAATTCAAAAAACCACACATATATGTAATGACAGGGATGAACCTTGAAGAAATTATGCTAAATGAAACAAGCCAGTCACAGAAAGACAAACACTACATGATTCCACTTATGTGAGGTACCTAGCATCAGCAAATTCATAGGACAGAGAGTGGAATGGTGTGGTCAGGCATCTGGGGAGAGGAGAATGAGTTGTTTGATGGGTGTGGAGTTTCAACTTGCAAGGTGAAGAATTCTGGAGGTTGGTTGCACAACAATGAATGTACTTAACATTACTGAACTACATGCTTAAAAATGGTTAAGATGCTAAATTTTACTTTTATGTTTATTTTACCACAATTAAAAAGAAAGCACACACATAAACAATAAAAAATGCTATAGTAACCGTACACATACATAGAAGCTATGACACAAAGGCACATACTACTTCAGAATCAAATCATTTGGAAGGTTGTACTAGACCAGGAGTTGGCAAACTTTTCCTTAAAGAGATAGATAGTAAATGTTTTAGGCTCTGTGGTCCATTAGGTCTTTGTTATAACTACTCAGCTTTTCAGTGGCAGCACTAAAGCTATAGACAATATTTAGAAAAGGGGGTCATAGCTATATTCCAATAAAACCATTTACAAATCAAGTGGCTGGTCTGCAGATTATAATTTGTGCTAAACTACACCTGGCATTCCATAAGACTTTTTCTTTTTTTTTTTTCGCCATTTCAAAATCTTTCCCAATGTTTCCTGAAACTCTTTCACCTGCTATGATTGCAATAATCTCAAGAAAGAAATATTCAAAATCACAAGGAAAGCTGTCTAACTAGGCATGACTTGATTATTTACATAGGTGTAACAAGTGATAACAAACCATATAAGACTTCTTGAGTTGGGTTTGCAAACTAGAGCCATGCAATATTGAACAACTACTCAGGGTACAAGCTCAACTTGTGCCTGGAAGTTTCCACAAGGAATCTCTAGATGTTTAAACACCTCTCTACTATTTTCTTTCTCAAAACTATGAAACCAAGCCCCGGAATCAATTCATCTACGATAACTATAGATATGAGCTCAATTTTCCTTAAGTTCTTGGCCTAACCTTTTTTACACCTATAAGGCTAAGAACCAGGCTTGTTTTTCTGGAAGGTCTTTGTAGGCATCAGTTCTATAAATAACACCAAGATTTGTCCCTTAAAAGCGACTGTTCCTGTCTGATTAAATGAGCACCATTCTCAGAGCTGACACTGCAGGTGAGCACTACATAATTGATTACCCAGACATCCTATAAAAAGAACATACTCTCTTTGCACGCATACAAATAACAAGTTTGCCACAAAAAGTAAGGAAGCAGTAAAAATGTCTGAATTCTAAGGCATGAGTGAGAAACAGGTCTCATTGGAAAAGGTCATTTTAGCTCACAAAAGCAGGATACACTAAATTATTATGGATTACTAATTAAAAAGAAAGGGAAGGGGCTTTCTCATATACTTAGAAAGTAGAATATTAAAACAATATCAACAATATTACAAACAAATAAAATTTATTTCCCGCATCACCTCCTTCATACCTGTATAATTAATTCTTCATTCAATGAATCTTGGGTTATAATCTGCTAAAGAGTCCTGCATACGCCAACTTAATCCTCTGGTGCGATGTGAAAACTTTCTAAGCATTTCAGCTTCTAATCTATTCTTTGAAGGGCCAATAAGTTAAAGTAGCTGGTACAATCATTTTTTCCTAGTGCTCTGAGATGGTTCTTTGTTGGAGACACAAAACATAGCCTACACTTTATAGCACAGCATTTAGGCAAGCACCTGAGAAAGAAAAATCAAAACACAAAAACAAGTCAAGACTATTTACATCTTAATGGAGATGTTAACTTAATACCATAACTTAGAATACTAAAATGAAGGAGAGTACAATATCCTATTGGGTACAGAACATAGCTATGTCATAAGAGTTTAGATCAGCGTTTCCCCTAGGGCAAACATGTTATGAATGGTGAGGATATTGGGAAATCTCCAGGGACTTCCAGCAAAGCATAATTTCTGAAATATTCATGTTCATAAAATATTCCCTACAGAAAATTAGGGAGGGCTGAATATCTCTTCAAACTAAGAATTTCTTATATATATTATAGTACCAACATATCAAAAATAAAAACACCCTTATTATCTCTAGTACCTCTCTTGTTATGAGGTGAAATTACAAATCTTTGCGATTTTTTCAGGAGCCTGCCGGGAAATCTCAAAGATTGTTTTATATTAAAGGTATCCAGAAAGTTATTATTCTTGTTACTAATATTATGATATGATAATATGATTAGTGTGATCTGAATCATCAGCAGACGTGTGTGGAGTTGACTGAAGGTTGTAACAATAAACATTTAAAAACAAACACAGAATCAGACAATGCAGAACACCCTGCCTGACATGCCACAGGACATTTGTTTGTTGTCCATTTCAAAAGCTTTCAAAACGAAGCTAAAGCTGAGGAGTTTAGAGTACAGGAGAAATAAAGGTGGGGAAAATAAGTAGATCCAGGGTCAACATTATTAAACATCCATGTTAATAATTTTTCTTAAATATATGTATTTCCTACTCTTTAGCTCAGTAATACCCAAGAGAAACATAATATGAACCATAAATGTAATTTTAAATTTAGTCTTAGAACCTTATAAAAAGTAAAAGGACACAGAAGAAATACATTTTTATGGCATCTTTAAAAAAATCATCCCCATATATACAATAACATCATAATTTGAACATGTGATCATATGAACTATTAAAACATTGGACACTTTGTAGCACTGCACGTCTCAGTTCTTGCTCTGTATAAAGATTTCGTAAGATTTACAATTGAAAAAGTGGATTCATGTATCCGATTTGCCTCAAACATACTTAAAACATTTCCGTTGACTTGGATATCAGTTTTAAATTCATTCAAATAAAAAGAATAAGCTCATCCTTCAGCCACAGCAGCGCGGTGGCGGTGGAGGGAGGCCGGGAGGAGGAGAGGGGAGAAACCCAGCGTGTCCGCTCCCTTCCGGAAAGCAGCAAGCCCAGCCTTCTTCCGCAAAGGGCGGAGGTCAAATGGCGCAGATGATTTTCAGCCTGAGCACCCGGGCATTGCATGCGCGCACGCTCACACTCTGGGGGGAGTGATGAGGGGGGAGCTGCGTGCGTGCCTGCAGCCGTGCGTGCCTGCAGCCGTGCGTGCCTGCAGCCGTGCGTGCCTGCAGCCGTGCGTGCCTGCAGCCGTGCGTGCCTGCAGCCGTGCGTGCCTGCAGCCGTGCGTGCCTGCAGCCGTGCGTGCCTGCAGCCGTGCGTGCCTGCAGCCGTGCGTGCCTGCGCGGGGCTCCCCTGGTGGCCCGGCCTTCTCGCTGCCCGGGGCGGGTGTGCGGGGCTCCCCTGGCGGCCCGGCCGGGGCGAGAAGCCCGGCTGTGCTGGCTGCCGATCCCGCGTGTGTGTGGGGAGCGGCCTCACAGCCCCTGCTTCCCCTTCGGCGACCGGGGAGTGTCCGAGCCCTCCGGACACAGGGCTCTCCTGGCCCCGGCAGCCCGCGCAGGTTTCCGCCTCTTTCGGCAGGCCCAGTGCCGGACAGGTCCGCGTCCCTTCTGGGGAGATGCACCATTTCAGGGTGCCAGTGGGAAAGTGCCCCATTTATGGACTTGACCGTTACTTCAGTCACCAGCTAATGAGGCTTCCAGATATCTCTGAAAGCTTTAAGGGCCTCTCGGAACACGGCGTCGTGGCTGCTGGTACTGAGAGGCAGTTTATGTAGCGGAAAGGACAGGTCACCGGGAACCCGGGTCCGCGCTGTCCT